TATCTCAGAATGGATTTCATAAGAAAGACATCGAGTAGAAATTAGATTTTGCTCAGAATGTGAAAATTTTGCAGCTCAGTGTTTGTGATTTCTTGGGAACTTCCCTGTGGTTGTGTTTTCCTCTGTGGCGTCAAGTAAAAACATTCTCGGAGGCTCACTTTCTTGGGCCATCTCAATGATAGGTACTTAGCGAATGCATTGAGGATATGCCACATTTTCTTCCAGTAATTAGAGATAGGTTAAGTTTGCTACTGTACAAAACCTCTGGATTTCTGCCAATAGTCCCACAGTCATCTCAACAGAAGTAGTTGATTGCTTTAAGAAAGAATTGATACATGGGATGAACTTTGGAAGTGTCAGTAGCAGACACAGGACTGGTGACTTGCAAGCAGCAGTGGCCATCAGTAGGTGGCTGTCTTAGTTAGGATTTCTATTGCTGTGAAGAGACACCATGAGCATGGCAACTCTTATAAAGGAAAAGCATTTAATTGGGTGGCTTACAGTTCAGAGGTTTAGTTCATTATCATCATGGCGGGAAGCCTGGTGGTGTGCAGGCAGACATGGTGCTGTAGAAAGAGTTGAGATTCCTACATCTTGCCCCAGGGGCAAAAGGGAGTGGTCTGACTTACTGGGTATAGCTTGAGCAAAGAAGACCTCAAACTCCACCTCTATAGTGACACACTTCCTCCAACAGGGTTACACCTATTCCAACAAGGCCATGCTTCCTAAATAGTGCCACTCCCTTTGGGGGCCATTTTCTTTGAAACTACACAATGGTTTTTAACACAGAGACTCATAACTGGTCAATGTACAGAGAATAAGAAACTTCAGAGTACTCCACCGTAAATGGGATGTTTCCATCACCCTCTTCCCCTTGGTGCTCAGGTCTCTATGTTAATGAAGGGGTGGACAGATTGTAAGAAACAGAGGGTGGTAGATGAGTTTAAGGGAGGAGTGTTTCCCAAACACAACAGGATAGATGTATATGTGAACTCACGATGACTGTGTCAGCACGCACAAGCTCAAGTCAGACAAAAATCTCAGCACGGGGTTTGTGGTGGTGGGAGGAGTGGGCACAAATTCTTGCCCCTAGCTGAGGAGCTATTGGAATTTGAATGCTGCTGGGAGAGGACAGTCAGTTTTCTTCAATGGCGTGACACCGGATACAGAACCACAGTCCAGGGCAGCCCTTCCCATAGTGGCAGCTGGCTAATATAAACTAGACTGGATAGGTTTGCGACAGAGGGAGAGGAACAATGAGAAGAAAGGAGTGAAGGGTGAAGGCAGGAATAGCAGGTCCTCTGCGCCACGGGGCTTCTGTTATTGCAGTGCTGCTCTTTGCTGTAACTGGGTCGAAAATCATGTTTCCCGTAAACAAAGAAGATTTTTATTTCTGCTTTTACGGCAGGAGACATTACCAGCTTGCCGTGTGAAATTCAAGCTAAGGACAGACATCTCAGGAGATGGGCTTTGTAATTGTGGGCTTCCTGGGGCTCTGCTTCCCACACGGGATGGGAAGGACTCCTGGTTGCTCTGCATCGCTTTAGCACGGGATTTCTGAGTGCATTGTGTCCAAAGCAGTGTGTAAAAAATAAGTGTGACTGTAGTTCACACTTATTGTTCTGCTTGATTTACATGACAGTGAAGACTGGAAAAGCGGACAATTCAAATCACACTGCTGGGCTGGGGAGATGGCTCCATTGGTAAAGGGCCTGCCGTATGAACAAGAGGGCCTGAGTTTGATCCCTAGCAGGTACGTGTGACTAATAACAAACGTATTCCCAGCACTTGGGAGATGGAGACAGGTGGACTTTGGAGCTCACTGGCTGGCTAGCCTAGCCTATTTGGCAAGTCCCAGGACAATGAGAGGCTCTTTCTTCTACTTAAGTAGAGAGATCCGGGTCTCCCAGCAGCTGACTGTCATCATAGGATGTTTAACTAGTGGCATGGGTAGAGAATGGCTGCCCACTTCTCATCCCTTATTAACGTTACACCCAGAAGCTGAGCTTCAGATTGGATGGGAGATACTATGTTTTTAGGTTACAGTAACACCTAAATAACTAGTTCATCCTTATTGTGTGCTGGGTCCTGTATTAAGTTCTTAATACATTACATTTAGTACTTAAGAGATGTTCAGTTTCTAGAACTATTTCTACTTTATACATGAACAGGTGAAGCCACAGCCAGCTGAAACTGTTTTCCTGAAGTGACGTGATAATCAGAGATCAGCACATGGTAATAGCTGCCTATTCTAAGAAAGGACATGGTTGATGTCACTGGAAGAAGGATGTCAAGGCCCTCTCTGAAGTTGATTGGCATGTGATCCTGATGGGGGATGTCCTTTGTCGTGGCCCAGCATGTCTCAGCCCCAAGCCAGGGCAGCCGTGAGGTTCAGTTCGGCCTGAGTGGGGGAGGGTGGACTTGGAAACTCCTAGCAACCCAATGGCGCTAAAGACCAAACACAGGCATCTTGTCATCTTTAGAGAGTTCTCAGTTCCATGCTGCAAAACTGGACTCTCTTCTTTATTTGGCATCTTCCTGTTTCCTAACCATGCTTCCCTGGCCATGAGTCCATTTCTCTCTCCTCCAGTCAAACCCTCTGCCTGCTACCTCCTGATTCTCTCCGTCCCCACTGGTTACTTACATACCTTGCCCTCCGACCTGGTGCAGGCCTATTCAAATGCTTAGTTCTGTAGAGATTCAATGCAGACAGGAGCTCCGGAGGTTTGGACCTCCAGAAATTCCCTAATGGAATTTTCCTTGCTCCCCCGATAGTCCTTCTGTATATATGCTTCTCTTATTGGCTGATGAATAAAACACTATTCGGTCAATTGGGAAGGAAGATAGGCAGGACTAGGAGATCAGGACAATTCTGGGAAAGGCAGGGAGAGTGGGCCAGACAGAAAGAGTCGAGATGCTGCTGGAGGAGTAACAACATGCCAGGGATTACTGGGTAAGCCACAGCCTCGTGGCAATACATAGACTGATAAAAATGGGTTAATAATTAAGACAGAGCTAGCCAATAAGAAGCCACCAGACAACAGTTTATAACTAATATAGCATCTGATTGCTTATTTGAGGCTTAAGGGCCACAAGACAGGACAAAGAACCTCTCTTTACACGATCCTGTCCTAGTCAGTTCTCTGTCTGAGCAGGAGATTATGGATTGGTACCCCACTGCTCCCAGTGGACAGAGTCATAAGAAAGGTGTGAATCAACCATCATTCCTGTCAATCAGAAGAAGGTAACAGGAAGGGTGAGAGCAGAAAGCCCATGTGCTATCCAGCAGACTGGCTGGGGAGACTGCATTCTGTGGAAAGCAGAGGAGGAAGGAAGCGGCAGAATTGACAAGTCCCTGAGAAGGGGCGGCCTTCTTAAGCCAAGATTCACTCCCCAAGTGCTGCCTGGGTTGGAGCCTGCAGGCCGGAAACAGGTATGAGAACACAGAACAAATGTTCTTCTGTTCTTCTTGCTTCTCTGCCTGGTGTACAAAGAGCATCTTTGAACTTGAAAGCTTTTGAGATCCTCCAACAACCCAAATACCAAGTTGACCTTTGAGACAAAGTGAAAACCTGCTGGACTGACTCAAGATACAGGATGAAGTGTTGGTTGTCTAACGTATGACAGTGTCTGTAAATGAAGTTCCCAGTGACTGGCATGTTATCATTAGCCTTTAACTGGACGGTTCCTGCCTTAAGCCATCTCCCTCTGGGTCTTAGGACAGCTCAACTACAAAGGCACCCAGGAGAGTAGCGGCCTGAGATTCTTGAAACTCTTGTACTTGACAAGGCAGTCTGGCCTGGAGCATTAACTTTTCCTGGAGATATCTGCTCAGGGAAAGTGGATGACAATCCTTCCAGAGAATGTAAACAAAGCCCCAGGCTCCTTTAAGAATGCTTCCTGTGGAACTCTGCTCTGGCCTGCACTGTGTTATCACAGCAGAGAACTCCACTGTGGACTTAAGACCGGCAGGAATTGTGGTGTGTGTGAGCACAATTGTGGGGCAATGCTCACAGAAGTACTGTAATGGTCTGCTATGTCCTCAGTTGTGGGGTCACAGCACATGCTCTCACTTCCCAGGTAAGTCTGGGAAGTTGGGCAGACACTGAAAAGAGAAGAGGGGAAATGGGACATTTTCAGTGCACCAGAACAGTTTTATCCTTAAGCCTCGCTGAGGGCCTCAGTCAATGCAGTCTGGAAGGAAACTCTCACACACTGACAATGGTCAGTATTAGCTGGGTCTGGGTTTCCTGAAGACAGAAGAATGGATATGAGTGATGAGGGGCAGGAAACCCTGAATGCTGAGACGTTTGCACTCTGTGATAATGCAAAGGGCATTAACTCCCAAGTCCATAGAGAGGATGAAGAAGACTAGGTATTGGATAAAGGAGTAAAATAATGTCATACGACATATTTAATAGAGGAAATCTAACAAAGTTATGAACAGAGCAGCAGAAGGTGGTATAAGTGGAGAGCTGTGCTCATCACAGGAGGTCTGAAAAGAAAACTACAGGAAAGAGACACAAAGAAGGGCTACAAGATGACAATTCATCAAGGTCAGCAGGAGTGAAGAAAATGGGAGAAAGGAAAAGTGAGCCATCAGAGGTCAGAGGCCAAAAGTCAAAGGTCAGAATCCAGGACCTATAGAATGAAAATGTCTGCACATGTAGGAAGTTGGTGGCACAGCCATGTTGGAAAGTACCCAAGCACAGTGCAGATGGACAGCCTTGGGGAGAAGGATGGACCCCAGTGCAGGAGGTGGGCGCCCTTGGACAGAAGGATGAACAGAACCCAGGGAGCTGACATAGACGCTGAAGTTCATTACTGGGTGGGGGCTGAAACAGGAGGACTGCCATGAGTTCAAGGTCAACCTAAGCTACAGAGTGAAACTCTGTCTCAAAAGAGAACAAAGTTGAGAAGCAGAGATCTACCAGCTTTGTGCACATACCGATGTCCTTTCATAAAAACACTGTGTGGCCAATGAAGACGCTATGAGGAAGTATGCACCAAACATTTAAATTTATTATAATAATTAGTTTCCATGTCTTCACAATCCTTAGAAGGTCTTCATTCTGAAGGAGCCAACTAAAGAAAATAAAACACACATGGCTATTCAGTTTATCACACAGTTTCGTTGCTGGACATTCTGGTATGTTCTGTCACCGTCCTCACCAGATTCATAGAAATACTTTGGACACCCACACTCTCTAACAGGAGTGGAAGGCTGCTGCAGCAATGGGCAGGGGTATGACATGAACCCTGACATTTCTTCATTTTTCATTTTAGTAACAAAAGCCACCATCTATTTCAATCATGCATTCACATAAATGGTTTCCCCATACCCTGATTTTAAACACTCTGTTGTACCTTGTGACACACTGGGGACTTCTGTAATCTTTGCCCATAAAAATCACAAGCTTTTCTTGCTCTTTTCTTTTCTCTTTTTTTCTTTTCTTTTTCCTTTCTCCTTTTTTGATATTTTAAGTCCCAAGAGAAGCCGTTATTGATCAATATGAATTGGGGGCTGCTCCTTCTCAGTCTTCCACCACAATGTGCCGTAGAGACTCACAGCAGAGAAGCTTCAAAGCCTCAAGGGATGGCTTGAATGAGACCACACACATGTGGGTTACCCTTAGAGTCTACTGTTGAAGCAGGAACCATATAATTCCAAGAATCCAAGCAACTTACAATGAGCTGGCTGGTACTCTCTGACAGAGAAACATCTCATTTTTAGACTTTTGGGCCTGGACAAAGGACCTGCGATTCCTTCAAAGTCAAGGTTATTAGTAAAAGACAGTGCTGGCCAAGAGAGGAACCATCCTCACACATGTGAAGTATAGCTGCTCTGAGACTGGCTGTGAGCATCAAATATGCATTAGATTTAAGAGATTTAGTGTAAGAATGCAAGTCGTCTCATTCATATCTTTGATGTTTTATGCTAAAAATTTAAACCATTGTAAAATATTAATCGTGAGCTAAAATAATAATTTAGACAGATTAGTGTTTAATTAAAGATATGATTAAAGTTCATTTTTATATGTTTTAAAAGGACTTCCTGACATTGCATACACAGCTCCTACCAGGCAGCTGGTGGCCATTTCACAGCTGGCTGGCACTTTCCATGTGGGTCACTAGGAGGCAGTGGTTAGGTCTGCTGAGTTAAAGGGACTGAGGTTTCTCTAGTCCAAACTCTAGTATCCTCGTTTATTAAATAAGAACAGTGAGTGGCTGCCTCTTAGGAATGGTCAGACCTGAGCTTCTCATACACAAAGAGTGAGCATTACATTCTACTCTACAGAAGGAGGCATGGTTTTATAAAGCAAACTCCAACAACTCAGAAGCAGACTGGAGAGACAACTAGGGCATGGATGAAGAAACAGTAGATCTCACACTTCACCCCACATTTACAACATTCTTAACCTTTTCTTGATTTCTACTCATCACTACTGGCCCTGAAGCCCATTAGGGGAAGCAGAGGTTAGCTCGTATCCATCTGAATGCAGAATAGCTCTGCAGCTTTCTGCATCGCTTTCCTCTGTCACTTAGCAAGCAACCTCTGCTTAATGAAAATACACTGTACTGTTTCCTTCAGAAAGACTATTAGGAAGTCTACACAAGGCCAAGGCAAGCTCTTATACAACTTAATGTTATGTAACCTTGGGGCTGGGGAACTATTTAGGACAAACAGGAATGTAAAGTAAACAAGACAAGCAGTCAAAGGGCAGAGAGTTTGATCTGGGTCAGTCACAAGCCTAGGTCAGGGTCACATAGTTCTTGGAGGAGCTTACCTGTGAAAGGAGGTGAAGATAGTAACACCTCCCAGTACAGGTTGTTTTCAGAATTCTTCTATGCAGCTATACACATGCAAACATATGTTACAAGAATACTGTGTATATGACTTGTCAGTTAGAAAGTACTACAAAAATACTAGCTATTAGCATGATTTCACCCACTGGATTCTGGGACTCACATTGAGACATGACTGCTTCTCCCTATGCATGGCATGTCTGAGGACCCCTGCTCCTCTTCCCCACTTACACTGAAGTCTGACTGGAAGAGCACCATGAAAAATGAAAGACCCCCTGAAGATGGCGGTTTCTGTCCTGCCTGGTCCCGAAGCAGATTGGCCCCAAATAAACACATGGATGCTATATTAATTATAAAACTGTTGGCCAATGGCTAGGGCTTCTTACTGGCTAGCTCTCTCTTAATTATTAATCCGTAACTACTAATCTATGTGTTTCTATATGGTCTTATCTTACCAGAGAACACCTAGCACATCCTATCTTCCCAGTCTCTACATGGAGTCTCCTCTGCCTCTCTCTCCTCTCTCCACAGCCTTCTCCTCATCTCCTCGTCCCGCCTATCTTCCTGCATCTATTGGCCAAACAATGTTTTATTCATCAACCAGTAAGAGAAACATATTTACAGAAGGACATCTCCCACCAGTCCCCAGAAATGGTGCCAGTCTTATGCAGACCTAAAGCTGTACTATGGATCTGAGTGATAACTGATTTTCCCAAGCAGGAGAAAGTCTTATGCCAGTAAGTCAGTAGCCTCTCCCACTGAAAAGCAGTCATCACACTGTGTTCTAAAGCATTCTTTCCTACAGTATTAACTCAAATGTGACCATTGAAGAAGTCAGTGGAGACAGACTGATGGATGGAAGAAGGACTGGGGTTAACATTGTCAGCTTGGTCCCCAGAAGGAGGAAAGGGAACAGAGAAACAGAACCCCTGCCACAGAGTCATGCTATACAATCTGAGCACAGAACTCCAGACAGCATTCCTGACCAGGACTCTCACTCTGCAGCCAGCCCTTTAGCTTGGCTTCTTAGAAAAGAAAAATATACTTATTGAAAAGATCTCTGGACTATAGCTCTGTAATAGAACTTGAAGTCAGGGATGGTGATGACTCCAGAAGTTCCTCTATTGTACAGGGTTGTTTTGGCTATCCTAGGTCTTTTGTTTCTCCATATAAAGTTGAGAATTATTCCTTCAAGGTCAGTGAAGAATTGTGTTGGGATTTTGATGGGGATAGAATATCTTTAACAAATGGTGTTGGCATAACTGGATGCAAACATGTAGAAGACTACAGATAGACCCAAGCCTTCACCTTGCACAAAACTTAAGTCAAAATGGACCAAAGACCTCAACATAAGAAAGTGTTCAACATCCTTAGCCACCAGGGAAATGCAAATCAAAATAACTCTGAGATACCATCTTACTCCTGTCAGAATGGCTAAAATAAAAAACACCAATGACAGTTTATGTTGGAGAGGGTGTGGAGAAAGGGGAACACTTCTCCACTGCTGGTGGGAGTGCCAACTTGTACAGCCACTTTGGAAATCAGTATGGCGATTCCTCAGGAAAATGGGAATCAGTCTACCCCAAGATCCAGCAATTCCACTCTTAGGCATATACCCAAAAGAAGCACATTCACACAACAAAGACATCTGTTCAACGATGTTCATAGCAGCACTATTTGTAATAGCCAGAAACTGGAAGCAGCCTAGATGCCCCTCAACTGAAGAATGGATGGAGAAAATGTGGTACATTTGCACAATGGAGTACTACTCAGCAGAAAAAAACAATGGAATCTTGAAATTCGCAGGAAAATGGATGGAACTCGAAGAAACCATTCTGAGCCAGGTAACCCAATCACAAAAAGACCAACATGGTATGTACTCACTCATATGCGGATTTTAGACATAGAGTAAGGGATTACCAGCCTACAATCCATACTGATAGAGAAACTAGTAAACTAGGAGGATCCTAAAAGAGACGAACGTTGTCCCCTGGAGAAGGGGAAAGGGTCACCATCCCCTGAGCAAAGTGAGAACATGGGAAGAGGGGGGAGGGAGCTATGAGAATGAGAAGGGAAGAAAAGGAAAGATGCAGAGGTCATGAGGGAGCAGAAAGGTTGAGTCAGGTGTAGATTACAAGAAAGGATATGTGATAGGTAGGGTTTTAGTTTTGGGGGGTCTGTAGGGGAGGAAGGGAGGGAAAAGGGAACTGGGATTCTCATGTAATTCAATCTTGTTTGTAATTCAAATAAAAAAAGAAGAAAAAAAAGATCTCTGAAACTCGTGCTATAGAAACCAATTATCTAAGGAGATATCTGTGGGATTTTCTACCCACTCATCTGAGCCATAAACAAAGCACACATGGATACTCTAGTGACGTTCAGACCTGAGTCCTTACAACGTCACACAAAGACACAGTGTTCACAAAGTTTCTAAAGTGAAGTAAAAGTGATGCCTGCAGCTAGCCAGCTGTCTCAGTAACTAGAACTCACCCTTCTCATGCCTTTTGATCTGCTCCTATTTTATCTTTTAAGATTTATTTTTATTTTTGTGCATGTGTCTGTGTGAGTATGTTCACACATGTGTGGGTGCCTGTGGAGTCCAGAAGAGGGCATCAGATTCCTGGACCTGGGGTTACAGACAGTTATGAACTGCCCAAAGTGGGAGCTGGGAACTGAACTCAGGACCTCTGCAAGAGCAGTACTTGCTCTTAACCACTGAGCCATCTTTGCATCCCTTCCTGAGAATTATTCTAACTCCAAACAAGCCTGGCTTTTTTTCCCTCTTAATTCAAGCTGAAAATGATTCCTGTTCAGGCCCTTCATTTTACCCTCAGAGAACAACACCACTTTCTTGGAAGTATACTACAGACTGTTAGCATTGGAATGGCTGTACCCTAAGGAGTTCTTCAGAAAGATTCACAAGAAACTCGAGGCATAGGAAAGCTCTTTGTAGCCTCACTCTTTTTGTAACACAGCACATCCTAAGTTTTCTTGGCTATGTCATCCTTCTCAGTTCCCGGGGACAATCAATGGACTGGTCCCAGAAAGACACCTAAGAAATACAGAGTTAATGACTATGACGGAGGTGTGAAAACTATTCATCGCTAGGAGGCATCAGTAGCACCCTGAAACCTGGGTCTCGGGAACTCTCCAGGCCACCCAGCCCGCAGGAGCCACCCCACTTACTTCAGGAGATTCCCCAGGTTGAAAAGCGCACGGTTGTGCTGAGGATGGAGTTGCAGCGCCCTCTGGTAGTACAGCTTTGCCTCTGCCGTGTCCTTTGTCAGTGTCCCGAGGTTGTTCAGTGCACTTGCGTGGCGTGGGTACAGCCTGGAAAATCAAAGTGTTAAACGTGGACTTCTAAACTGGCACTCCAAGCATGTCGCAGCCCCAACGGACCCTGAACTTTTCCTTGTAATGGGATGTCTGTGTCATAAGTGCTTTTGCAGCTGAAGGCATGCAAATAAATATAGCAGAAAGCAAAACCTTTAGACTCAGAGGTGTAAGGAAATAAACCCCAACACTGCAAGAGTAAGAAAATGTAAATCTGTAAGAGTAAACACATTTTAGTCCCTCTGCCAAGGAATCTTCCCTGCCCTGGATGGGAACTTTCTGTCGAGGTCACACAGCTACCAGTTCCCTGTTCAGTGCTTACTACCCGTGTGGGGTCCCCTCAGGAAGGGATTGATGTGGGATGTCTTTCTGTATGCTGTGAATATGTGTTGCTTTTATTGGTTGATGAATAAAGCTACTTTGGCCTATGGCAGGGCAGAATATAGTTAGGTGGGAAAGCCAAGCTATGCGTGAAAGAAGACGGGGTTGAGGAGATGCTAGCCAGCCACTGAGGAAGCAAGACATGTAGAAAATGACATAAGGTCACAGCTGCATGGCAATACATAGATTAATAAAATAGGTTAATTTCTGTGTAAGAGCTGGTTAGTAATAAGCCTGAGCCATCAGCCAAACAATTATAATTAATATTAAGCCTCTGAGTGATTATTTTGTAAGCAGCTACAGGGCTGGGCAGGACACAGAAAAAGCCTCTGTTTATATGGGATCTTTTCAAATATCTCTGGATCAGAACCTGATAAGACTGCCCCAGCCAGGAAAGGGTGGAAGTCTCCTGTCTCCTCATGAAAGGAAACACTTGCTCTTCACCCTCTTTCCCCATCTCCCTCACTTTCCTTCCACTACGTTTGATACAGTTCTTAAAATGTTAAGAACTTAAAACAGTTCAGACACAAAAATTAGCATGTGATGAAGTATAAGTCAGCCTTCCTAAAATTCAAAAGAAATAAAAAGCAGGTGGGATATGTATCAGCAAACTATATTATCCACATGAAGGGAGGGAGGAGTCAATTCAGTCTTTCATTCAATATGGTAGAACCACCACACAGTCAGCTCTTTCTCACCAATCTGGAGTGGACATCCTTAGCAGGCTAGAAGTCTTGCTCTACCTGCTACTTATCCATAGAGCTGGCCTTTAATGCACAAAAGCCAAGACAGAGCTCACTCCAGTATGTGCTAATGCAAATGGCATTTTGAAGCTTTTTCTCATACATCACCCTATTTAAAAATTCCCAGTGTAGTGTTTTACCATCAAGGAAAAGGAGGCTGGGAAAAATGAACTAAAGCAGCTGTCTCTGTCTCTCTCTCCTTCTCTCTCTCTCTCTCTCTCTCTCTGTCTCTCTCTCCTTCTCTCTCTCTCTCTCTCTCTCTCTCTCTCTCTCTCCCTCCCTCCCTCCCTCCCTCCCTCACCCCCCCACACATGCTCACACAAGCACCATCCCAGAAATACTTGTCCTCTTAGGTGTTAAGAAGGCAAATTATTCCTGTCAATCATTGGTTTTCCCAAATAATACATGAGTCACTCAAGCTTCACCTCAGCAAATAAATGAATTGCTAGGAATTGAAACTTCTATTTAGAATATTTTTATTACTTCTTATGAGCAGTTCACTTAAATTGTGACCTAATATGAACCAGTTCTCAGAGGGCAGAGTGAAATCTATGCAACATGTAAAAATGTTGGCTTCACAGATACTTATTTACTTCCAAGTATCACCCGCTGTCTTAAAATCATCATTTACTGTCAGGTACAAAAGAAACTTCACACAAATGGCTATCTGTGCTACTACTAGCCACCAAGCTCTCCCAGTATCACAACTGTTATATCTGTTACTGAGTCTGTTGTGGGATATTTGTCCCCACTGTGACACTCTGAGACTTAGCTAATAAAATTAATGTTGGATTGGGGGTGGAGCCAGGGACTAGTTGACAAGAATTAGCCATAGAGTTGGTTGCTCCTTGACTTCTCTGATCTAGTAGCTTTTCACCCCAATATCTGACTCCTGAGTCTTTATGGTAAATATAATAACTTAGATTAAAACAACATGAGTCCACACTGGCATCTGTGAGAACCAAAGTTACATTTTAAGTTTTAATTACTGTGCCTAAGAGATCCATGAAACAAGAAAACCTCTGACCTGCAAGCCTCTTCTCATGGACATGTACTTCCTGAAATGCTGGGAGCTGTTGTTTATGGAGGTAACAAACAAACCACGCTTCACTCCCCTAAACAAGTTTGTTTGACCCATCTGCACCCAATGTGCTGGATCACATGTGGGGGCGAGTTCACAGGCAGGAAATTCATCAGGGTGGACTCTTACCCCTGAGTGGACCCCATGGGAAATATGGCCAATTATGGGTTTTACCTTTTTAAGCCCCTGCGAACCATGGCTTGGGGCCATTTTCTGGAAACCCAGAGATAGAGACCTGGTCAGAAAGTCCATGGATCTGACCAGTATTTAATAAAAGCTTGCTTCAAACTTGGCTTTAAATTATGGTAGTGTATTCTTCTTGACTGGTGGGACTGGCACACCCTGGCTCTTCTTACTCCCTACCCTACACCTCTCTAACTCATGGGCTTCCCTTCCCTAGCTTCTGACTCCCTTATAACCTGGCTATTTTGGCTTAGCCCCGCTCTTCCTTGGTCTCCTTTGCCCTCGTTCTCTTTGTCTTCCTCTCTTGCTCTTCCTTTCTCTCTCTCTGCATGACCAAGTTCATTCTGCTGGCCATGTTCCATTGGCTACTTCTTCCTGCTCTAGATACTTCCAGATGGCTATAGTTATCTCCTTCATATTTATAATAAAAACCTTCCCTTCAACCATACCTTGGAGTGGTCATGTCCTTAGTTTATACAATTACCTCTTTGAGAAGCACACATTGTATGGGAACTAGCTGGAGTCAATTACACTCAGTAGCCTGTAAGAAGTGAGCTCCTGCTTGTAGTCACTGTTTGTAAGGTGTGTGTGTGTGTGTGTGTGTGTGTGTGTGTGTGTGTGTGTACACGTATGTGTGTGCATGTGTCTGGATGCTTAGTGTCCTGCTCTATCAGTCTCTGTCTTATTTCTTTGAGGCAGGGTCTTTCATCAAAACCGCAGCTAGGCTGGCAGCCAGCAAGCCCCACTGATCCAGTCTCCACTGGCACAGGGCTGGGTTACAGGCACAAGCAGCCACACTTGGCTTCTAATGTGGGTGCCAGGATCTGAACTCAGGTCATCATGCTAGGTCATCAAGAGCTCTTGCCCACTGTGCCATCTTTCCACCTGTGTCTGTGAAGGCCCACAGATTTAGCTGTTTGGAACTGAAGTTTGGGCTTATATTTTGTTTCATTCATGTCTTTTAAAATTGAAAAGTTAAGGATGCCTTATGTTTTTAACCTTTCAGTACCTTACCAGTAATTTTATTGTTCAAATAACATTGATTTATGGTTATAGTTTGCAGCTCCCTCCCAGAGCACACACACCTATAATCAAGTGTCTGATTTTCATGCCACACATTAATTTATTTGAGGTTAACTACTCTAAAGTTGTTTATTTTCTATTTCCTGTTGAGAAAAAAATCACAAAGGCAAATATGACTAGGAAAAATATCTCTCTGTAATTGAAGCTCAGTTTCCCTGGACTGAAGTATACTCAGAACTAACTTCTCTTCAGACGTTGATAGACTGCTGATTCGGCATACTTCAAATGCTTGGTTCCTTCTGTGCCATGAGTTCAATCATCCTGTCACTAACTGGCCCTGGGTAACACTGGCGATCTTACTGGTTAGCGTCTTTGATCATCTGAAGTGATTGCTAGCACTTGACCTGCTCTGTTCCTTCTCCGTTTTTTTTTTTTTTTTTCCCTGGGTTCCTGATCTCTGGAAGAAAGCATTAGGGATTAAACATGACCTCTCACCCTTTCACCTCAGTGACCTCAGTGCTGTGGTAGAGGGACTCCACCCAGGAATTTGGCCAAGGCTCCACAGAGTAAAAACATTTTCTTGAAGCCCTCCGGAAGTGAGTCACTTGTAATGGCTGTATTGTCCTGACTCCAGAGATTTCACTTCTTGGGTTTGGGAAAATCTACTAAACTAACAATTCCCTGCTCTTTTCAATAGGAAAGGTTTGCAGGGTGATGAACTTTGGATTGAGTGGCAGAGTGGTGGACAGGAAACTGGTCCATGGGGAAAATACTGGGGACAGATGCCAGTTGCATGATGCTAGGTGTGATGCGGTGTGTGTGTGTGTGTGTGTGTGTGTGTGTGTGTGTGTGTGTGTGTGTGTGTGTGTGTGTGTTAGCTGCTTTTATAAACTTTCCATGTGAATGAGATAAGGGCATGAAGACATCATCACAACTGTACTTTGAGTTCAGATGCAGAACTCTGGTGATCACATGTCAGGCTAGGGCTCTCCAGAAACATCACTCTTGGACTGGGGAGATAGTTGGCAAAGTCCCTGTCATACAAGCATGCCATGCTAGTATGAGTTGGGGACTCCCCAATACTCATGCAAAGGCTGGACATGGTTGTGTATGTCTGTAAACTCGGTCTTTGGGGAGCAGAAACAGGTGGGTTCCTAAAGCTTACTGGCTGCCTAATTGATACAGTGGGTTGCCTCTATATTCAGGGAGAGACTGTCTTGAAAAAACAAGGGGAAGAGAATGCACCTGCACCCGTGAACACACATACACACACACACACACACACACACACACACACACACACACACACACACCGCTCACCTTCTTCCTGGCCTCTAGGGGCCTTTGAATTGCTTCCATTGCTTCCATCAGTCAAAACAACACCTATTCTTTCCCCATCACCAGCCCAGTGAACAAACACTTAAACCAGCTCCTATCTGCCCATTCTTCCTGTGCTGTGCCTTCTTGGTACCAAGGCTAAGGAGCCATTTCCATCTTGGGGAACTGTCAATTCTTCACAGTAGGAGGAATTGATCCTCACGGGCCTAGCAGCATGGGAGGCCTATGGGAGCATAGCAGCCTAGAAACC